TAATAATAATAAAAAAGAGCACTACTCTTCTTTACAGAGCATCTACTTAAGACCACAGATCACCTATTGCCTCAGGTATTTTTCAGCGTTGCTGAGCATTTTAGTACGCTCAGAATGTGCCCAAAATACTGTTGACTGGGGGAACTTCCAAAGCAATTAAGCAGCACCAGCTGAATTTGAGGTCAGTCCTCCCAGAAAGATCAGTACAGTGCAGTTGAGGGGAAAGAGAAAAAAAAAAAAAAAAAAAGGCAGATCGAAGTAAAAAGCCAGTTGTCCACATCCTGGGATCCACTTCTCAAGAAATGGAGTAATAATTTGGGGTTTTGTTTTGTTTTGCTGCTCCTGGTAGAGGAAGCGGCTAGTGGTTAGCGTTAGAAGGCAGGGTACCCACCAGGAACGCCGGGCAGTTTACCACAGTGGTTTTTCTTTTCACTTTGTTTTTAGGAAATGTCAGAAGAGAAGCAAAGATTACTACAGAAGAGGAAGATGCTTGCAGAGAAACTAAAAGAAGAAGTTATTAATAAGCGGTAATTTTGAGCAGCTCATTGCAGAACCCAAGAGCATAAGTATGTTTGTAGAATAAATTCTATAAATAATAATTGGAGTTGTTTTCCAATGTTACACTTAGTTTTATACAACTTTCAGACAAGCCACTCACTACATTATATATAAATACTTAAAATTACACTGATATACACTAACAATTTATTTTCCAGAATGCTGGAAACTCACCGACTTTCACTGGAACGTGTTCATGGCGAGGCCATTTAACATCACTGCAGCATGCAGACGTTCCGAACTACTGGCCTCAGCCATTTCATGTTATATAGAACAAAAGCAGAGCTTGAGATCTGTTAAAATAATTCCTACGTGAACAGTTCTGAATGAGTTCATTTCTAACTTTTTTTTAATTTTAGAGAACTTTGTTCCTTTTATTAGACTGTTACAAACAAATTACTGTTTTTCAGCTGTGCAATGTAATAAAGTCTAATTTCACGAGGAAGCGCAACTATGACCGTCTTACTTTTGAGAGTAACACAGCTTGAGGTCGAGAGGTTCACATCTTAACTCTGGATTACATCTTTTTACATACTTTTGGGGCAGTTTATCAGTCCTTAAGTCCAATTTAGCTATAAATGCAACTGTAAGTGAAAAACAATTGCTTGAGTTGCAAAGCTAGGGCTGTCACGAGCAATCCAAAGTAGAAATCTTTGAAAAATCTTGTGTACTCGTTTGGCTTTGACAGACCTAAAATGAAGCGGGGAAGGGAGGTGGGTTGTAGCTGACTGCAACAGTAACTCGCGTTCAAAGAAACCACCCGACCAATTCAAGTTCCATGTAACTTTTTATTAAAATAGCATTTATAACTGATACATGTTGGCAGATGTTCTGTTCTTTTCCAAAAAAGAGTGGTAGCGGAAGGACCCCAGGCAGGGGCACGCGGCTGCCCGCAGGCAGCACCGACCAGGGCAGGCTGGGGAACAGCATTGACAACAGCCCCAGACCAAAGCCAGTTAAAGAGTGCTGCGTGTCACCTTCTACAGGGATTTAAATTTTATTTTTTTGAAAACGGGACATCTAATGCCACTTTACACAGTCTTTTTCTAGTAACTATAAAAATTCATGACATTCTTGTTTTTGCTGTTTAAAAAACCCCCCTCCTGTTGGTCTGAACATATTTTTTTTTAAAGCTCCTGACAGTACTTCAGGGAAGAGCTGGGGCGGTGGGGAACGGAGCAGGAACTAACACGCTTCAGGCGGAGACGCTCAGAGAACTTGTGGGTAGCTGTTAGTGGGGACAACTCGGGTCCGCAGCCCAGGCGACGCCGTTTTTCAGCCTCAGGTTAGCAAAGGCACACAGCACGTCACCCTGGGAGGCGCGTGTGCGGCGCTGGAGGAAGTTAATCATCGTTACCGACAGAGAGAAAAGACTCATCGGGAAGAAAACCAGACGATCGGCGGCGGGAGAGCGAGCACACGGCGCCGAGACTGCAGCTACGCTTTACCAGCGAACACTTCCACGGATCCTCTGCGTCCGGAGCTGACGGGATGTTTCATCGCACAGGTGAAAAAGAAAGGAGTCCCGTTCTCGGCTGCCCGGAGCCCACGAAGGGCAACGCCGCTGTCCCCGGGTCCACGCACAGGAACCGTCATCCGTCGGAACGCTCGCGTCTAGCTTACGCGTCGCGAAGAACTCGCACGTTCCCTTTGGGATTGCATCTAGTGGTATAGAGTTACTTTTAAAACCGCACGGATAACTAATCTTAAAAAATAGTCTAAAATGGCCACATTTAAAACTCTGGGTTAACTTACCGTGTACAACAAACCAAACCAAAGCAATAATTATGGAATTACAGGGTCACTTTTTAATTCCTGAATTTTACAGTTCAGCATTAATATCACCACATGTATACAAATGGTGTAAAACAAGTACAGTGGTATTTTTAATACAAAATAAACTTCTGTTTTATGGAAAAAACTATACTTCATATCTACACAGACAGCCCATCTTTTTCCAAACAATAGCTAAAATTAAAATTAACTACAAAAAAAATCTCCAAAACAGAGAAACTGCTTCAGTTTAAACTATTCCAGGAGAAATGGACCCATAACACATATTACAAGAGCGATCTATGCGGTGGATTGCAGCTGGTTTCATGTTTTAACATTTCTGACACATTGTTGTCGGGCAATCTCCTCTCACTTCATCATGATCTCAGATCACATACGGGCAAACTAACATTAAAATATTTACAGTTCACTCGCTGCTCTTGAAAATAAAACCTGGACCGTTTGCCTCTCTTGACTCGCCATCAACTCGCCTATTTTTGTCGCAGTTGGCTTACCTACTACGTGGAATGTGCTTTTGTTTTTTAAAAAAAAAGCAGCTTTCGGATTACACCTGGACTCAGGTGCTGCTTGTTGATTCTGCCTCAAAGACCAGTGTTCTGTCAGTAATAATTCCGTCTTGGTCCAAAGTGACTTTGGTGTTATAACGCCGCTAAATTCATCGCTATGAAAAACCTGTTAGTGTTTCCTCTCGCCACCTCAATTACGCAATTTGAACTCGCAAACGGGGAACTGGCTTGCTGCTCCGAGAAGAGACAGCTCGTTTAACGAGACAGAAAGCAACTCGAATTCGGGATCTTCCACAACGTGAAGCTGACAGCTATTCGGGGGTGCCGCGTACAGCACCGCTTGGACCCAAGCAGCTCCTGGAGATATTTTGGAAGCGATCGTTCCTTGGCATAGATATTACCGGCTGTCTAATCGAAAAAACAAGCAAACCCATCCATTTTGAATCCAGCTTTTCTCCTCTTGAAAAATACAAATTAAAACTTATTTTTAAACTGTTTTAAACAACTCAACATGCACTATAACGGCAGCGTCCCTCCCTCCAACCACGAGAAATGCGATTTAATGGTAATAAATGGTCCCAAAATCTGGATTGTTCTTATGCAGAGTTAGTTCTCCCTTAAAATTTGTTTAAAAGAGGCATTGCCAAAAGAACACAACTGACAGCACCATTACAAAATTAAGATTACTGGGTTCAAAATTTAAGCTTTTTTTGTTTTTTTTTTTCTCTCCTAGTTCCGTTAAACACTGGGGAAACCCTGCAATATTTTTTAAAAAGTGTTTACCATACCTTTCCCTCCCCCTGCCCTCCCGACACCTGAGACTTTCCTTGCTGAGAAGCCATCATCCAGGTTCTGTGAATACTAACCCACTTTTTTTTTTTTTTTTAAAACATTTTTAATTTTTTTGACAGCCTGAATGGCAGACTCCTTCCTTACTAGAAAGATAAGTTCCTTGGAAGCTTTGTGTTTACAGAACTAACCCTTTCTAGCTGATATACTGAGTTTCTTTTGCTACTCCTTGTATTATCTTATGTACCCATGGGAGAAAGCTTTCTGAATCAGATTCTTTTTAGCTCTTAAAACAGTTGCAGCATTTGAAACCCCATAATAAAAGTTTTTATTCCAAAGTTTTGGTTTCATTTATGAACCCAGACGAGGTCTTTTCCTTGGAGATGTCTCCTCCTCTTCATCATCATCTTCATCGTCAGGATAATCCACTAGGCCAACTAGACTTCCCTGCCAATTTAAAAAGAAAAAAAAGAAAATCTCACATTAAAAAAAAAAAAAAAACACAGAGGAATGTGTAATTTCAGTACATAATCCCCAACCAACCTGTCTGGGACACACAAGCCTGCGGAAAGTTTCTTGGTGATGCCTTTTCCATTCAAAGACCCATTTGTCTTGAGAATGTTTTTGAACCTCAAGGTTAAAAAAGTACTGGAACTTCCCTGCTCCTCTGGATCTGGCCTCAGAATTATTTAAAAAAAAATCACTTTTGAAGCTCCCAAGTGGACAGTCACAAAAATCTAACGTGTACAGCGTGCATCCATTTTGCTGGTAAGGCTTACGTGTGTGCAGTAAGATTTTTGCCAGGCTTTTCTGTAGCCTCTCAGGAGCTTGCAGGCTAAAGACTGAAATAACGCATGCCTGTGCAAGACGTAATGGGGGTATCACTTACTGTATTTTGTCTGCTTATAAACACTTACTAATTCCCTGACGGGGGGTGGGGGGGCACTAATGTAATTCAGAAAAAGCAATCTGTGCACACACGCAGCAGCTGGACAGATAAAGCCAAGGAGCGGGAGCAGTTAAACTAGGCAGAAGACACGAGGTTAAACTGTGCCAACCAGATCACCAACAGACTCCAGTCCCACCCATCCACTATTTGCTTAAACCTTCCCCAAAACCAGCAAGGGTTTAACTAGACAGGGCTCTGGATGAATTTGTACATAAATAAGATACCCTGCCTCAAGGCTAACGCTAGCCTTACCACATTACAACCGGTAAAGCCTCATTACGCTGCCCCGCTGTCCCAAGCGAGGACAGCAGCTTTTGTAACAAGGTCTCCCACCTTCGTGGCCGTCACCGCTGTGGTCAGGGTTGCGTTCTTTGAAGAGGAGCCGTTGGAGCTTGCTGGTGACGTCTGAGCTGCCACGGATTTACTGTTTGCACCGTTTGCACCATTGGCTGCGCTGGCTGAGTGGGAAAAAGTGAATTTGAATCCCCCAGCTGAAGTCCTTTTTGGAAGATTCTCTTTGTCTTCACTCTCCTTAGCTGAGGGACAAACATTTTCATACTTAAGTATCAGCTGTACACCATGGAGTACAATCCACATCACAGCATAATCACAGGGCAAGAGCTGCCACCTTTTTTTTTTTTGTTTTTAAATTCGGTTTGAATCAACAGCTCACCTGCGGACCTCATCCAAAGCACGCCAGCATTCAAACCGAGAGCGGCACGGGTGCTGTGGACGTGGAGACACGGCTCGCTCAGCGCACACAAGTACATGCAAAGTTTTGCTTTCGAATGTCATTGAAACTAGATGCACACTTGGAGCAATTTAACTCATTATTTTAATCCTAAACTAGCTTGCAAAGACATGTTAGGAATTCATTACTTAATTACGTGGAAGTCCCTTACTCCCGCTTACGATAGAGAGCACAAGCAACTGCTTTGTTTCCACAACACTCCACATATCTGCTAAAGAGCACTTCCAGTGCTGACAAGCTGAAATTGAGTAAATACCTTTTTTAGTTTCCATAAATTTTTCATAGCTATCTGGAAAATCATCCTCCTGTTTTGACTTCTCAACCGGAGGGACAACAGCTTCACCTTCTTCCTCTTCATCTTCATTGAACCACATTTCTTCATCCTCCTCTAAGGCTCTTGCATCTCTGCGAAATCTATTGCTACGCAATATGGATGGAACACTGTAGGAGACACACGACAAGCGATTCAAGTTCTGCCTGCCCTTTCAGCCTCGGCCAGGGATCAGAAATGGCTTCTGAGGCTTTAAAGTGAATTCAGCGCGTTTGAGACGGCAGTCCAGCTCCGTCGCCGCGTCTACCGTCAACGCAAGCTTCACCAAAACCCCCGCTGACAGTGAGGCAGACTGAATCCTAACTCTGAATGACAGAAGAAGATTCTCCTCTTCATAAGCTGAGAGTTTTCCAAATGTAACATTTACTATACCGACAAATATGAACCGTACTACGGTAGGCCACAAGGAAAGTCAGACAGGGGTTTACTCTAATTGAAGTTTTCACCAAGAATGAAAACCAACCCCAACCCCAGCCTTCTGCTTTTTCTGCCCTCTAGGAAAGAAAAGAACCAACCAGCAAGTAAGAAGAGACTACATAACTGCATTCAGTAAGTCTCAGAAAACATGAACTGGGTTGTACCTGTTCAGTTTCTGGTTTTGTCGGTCTTTTTCTTGCTCGTATTTTGTCTTCAGTCCCTTGAATGTCTGAACATATTCGATAGATTCAAGTGCATTATAAAAGTTTTCAACTATATGTGCAATAAGGGACTTAATATCTTCCTGCATAAGAAGAAAACAGGGTTTCAGTCTCAAATATTAACAGGCAGAAGTTCAGAACGCTTTACAGTTCAGTCTGAAAAGTAAGCGATTCGTTGTCCAGAGTCAAAACATTATTGCAAAGAACAAATGTGAAGTAATCAGATTTTTCCTTGATAAAAAAGCTGCAATCTGGAAATAATTATTAAATTTCCCATATAAATGAACAACGTACTCAGTACTGTCCCAATTCTATTTGTGATAGTTTGATTAAACCATGATGCTTGCTATCCAGGATTAAACCTTCTGGAGAAAAACAGGAGTTTAGCTGTGCCCTGCTCTGCCCACGCGTTTTAGCACTCTTTCTAACTGTCCCAATTCTATTTGTGATAGTTTGATTAAACCATGATGCTTGCTATCCAGGATTAAACCTTCTGGAGAAAAACAGTTTAGCTGTGCCCTGCTCCGCCCACGCGTTTTAGCGCTCTTTCTAGTCCTCACTAACTACAGCGGCACGCGTGGGATGAGGCACCTTTTGGTCAGTCACCCTCTAACAAGTCTCACCGCATCAAGCAAATCTTAACTTTCAGACCATGCTGGCCAAAGTCACCTTTTCTTGCCAGAAAAGACAGCAGCTACGACATCCTGCGACTAAAAACTGCCCTTCACTTTCGCAGACCACAGAGATTCCCCGAGAAGACTCCCACGCATCAAGGCATTCACAGTGAGTAGCTCAGGAGCTGTTGCAAGCCCTTGTTTTCTACCCCAGCAATACAACAAACTGGGCGCTCCTGCTTGTCCCGTCTGTCCTGTCCACGTACGCATCCTTCTCACAAACGCTGCTGTTGGAAAAGCTACTGACTGAGAGCTGACACTGTCTAAGAAAGCAGGTGTGTAGGATTTTAAAGGACAACGATCATCCGAATTTATAGTCAAATCAATCTCATTTATAGCCAGTAATACCTAGACTTACTCACATAAAATTTCAGTTAACTCCTCACTTCAAAGTTTAGTCCAGAAGTGCTGTCGACCACTTAAAAAGAATTTTATCTGCAGGATACAGTCTTTTAACACCAACTTATATGTAAACAAGGCCCTACGCACACTCTCTGAAGGGACCATGAAGTAGAACAGCACGAAGCGGCTTACTGGCTCCTTTCTAGTTAGATATTTATCTATGGGATTTTTCCTTTGCGATTTTAAGTAGTAGTAACACTATTTCAAGGGCAAGGTTCGCATTTTGTATTTCGACCCGAGATGCCACATACGTGTAAGAGCTGAAGAAGCTGCTGAACTTACCACTCTGATGAATTCGAACAGCTCAATCACAGCAGAGTTGAGCAGGTTGTACCTAGTTCCATTATCCAAAAGAGCATTTATAACTGGTTCAAACAGATTTCCCTTGGTGATATAACGGTTATAGAATTCATCTTTTAGGCCAATTATCCTCCTCATAAAGCGGAGAGCACCTATACGAAGAAAGAAATTCAAGAATTTAGCAACAACACACCAGGGCTCCATCTGCTTCTCTGGCAAAGAGCTGAAAAACCCCCTGATATTGCTGAGAGGAAGATGCACCCCCAAACCAAGAACATTAAAAAGCACTTTCTGAAAGTTCAGAAAAAACATTTGCTGACAGGTAGCCTTTCTTGCACTGACTTTCCTGGGTATTTCAATGTGATCGGGGTCCATTAATTCCTTTTTGAAATACAGCAGCAATAAACTTCAGCACATATGAAGTGAAATTGTTAGCTCCTTCCTGTGCGTTCACCTCCCAGAACCAGCCCCTATTCTTTAAATACGGCTCACAAAATTTCATTCACCCTCCACAAGGAGCGCTAGATTTATGATGTTATTAAGAAATGACAGTATTTCCATTTAAATGAGGTAAGACAGTTGATCACAAATGATCCTTACTGTCATAAAGACTTGAAAGGATCACCGTGGGCTTCAAAAGATACAACAATTCTCCTCCCACCATGAACTGCATTGGTCTACATTAACAGACATCTGCTACCTGTTTTTCAAAATTACTTAACAGCTAGCCAGTAATAAATAGGAAATTAACGTGAATTTTGATTTTAAGCATACACTTTTACTTGTACGCATTCCACACGGTACATACAAAGCCTCCAAGAAGGAAATCACAACAGCTCCATACTCACACAAGGCCAGAAATGTGTGTTTTGAATTCATCAAGACCAGTACTCTTCTTAGCAAATCTTTGTTCATAATGTAATTCTTGATGTGATACGTGTGGTGTTCCACACAAAAAGTAAGCAGCTCCAAAATTAAGGCAAGTAGTTGTGCCGTTTGGTAATTATCTACAAGAAAAATTAATGCCTTAAGTTATACTAAAAAAACCCCCAAAACCAAAAAGCACTGTCATACACCAAATCCTCACCAAGCTCAGTCACCACTACAGTCCCTGACATGTTTTTAGTGGCACACTGGATCGCTTTAGGAAACGGGACATTGCATCAGAACAAAACATCACACACAAATTTGCCTTTTTTTTTTCCCCGCCAAGCCACAAAAATCACCCGGAACTGGCAGTGGAACTTCTTCCAGGGATCAGCAAGTTACCGGCTACGGCAATCCAGATGAACGCTATGTACTTAAAAGAGGAAAGCCAATCAGCCCTGTGCTCATGTGAACCTCATTAGCAATGTCTTTTCATAATGCTCAAAAAAGAAGCCTGCACAGATAAAAATCCAAATTGTAAAAGCTCAGCTATGTCTCTTTAGTACATATTCTACTAACATTGACTGAAACTTTCAGTAGCAAGGTAGACTAGAGCGGGGAAAAAAAAAAAGTGAAACCTGGTAACTCAAAAGCAGATGAAAATGTTCCTTCAGCTTCCTGTCATCTCAAATGAAGCAAAGCACCTATATCTATTTCAACAAGAAGTATTTAAAAAAAATAAAATATGGACATACCTAATTTTTTTTTGTTTTGTTTTTAAGACTAAAACCACCATACACAGCAAATTTTAAAACTCAAGATCAATTAAAACTTACCAGGACAAATTGTATTACTCTTAGTTGACCCAACTACTGCATCTGATAAATAGAAAATAAAAACAAAAATCAGAAGAAGGTTTTGAAGGCACTGTAAATATTTAAAAGAAGGGAATAAACAATCAATTCTACCAGCTGTTCAAACTTTTCATCAAATCAAAAGTTTCTGTAAGCTACATGGAAATAAACACACAGCAGGACACATGCTGGATGAGGTTTCCATGTTCAATTTACATTACAAAGTTTCAAACTCAACTAGGCGAAAATACCTAATCTAATACTTAGGAATATTATTCCTACCTAGCCAAAAAGAAAGCGCCTGTTCTAAATTTTTCAAATAATATTATAAAATGAGTACTACAGATACTCTAGGAGTTTCACTTTTGCATAAAATGCATAAAACATTTCTCTTTTGACTTAACACTTAATATGAGGAGATGGGTAAGAGGAAAGAAATGTTTTTTACCAAATAGGTATTGGTTTGATTTAATCTCTTGAAGGAAGTCTGACTCGAGAGGCTGTAATGATGTTAAATTTCTGTTTGTAAAGCACTAGAGACAAACTAGTGAGCGTTATTTGCGTGCGCCAAACGGAGCATTTCCCATTCATCTACTGTTATCAGGAAAAATAAAAAAAGAAACAAGATAAAGGAGCTCCAAGTTGTTTGTCTTTGAATAGATTTCTTTCAGCATTTCTACACGATAGCCAAGTGAAAACTAGACTTTGGAGTGTATCACCTGAGCACACCTGATGCCTGGAATCACGTAACCACTGATGAGTGTCACAGCATTTCTGTGAACTTTTAGGAAAAAGTACCTGTGAACTAAAGACACTGCTTTACAGCAAATACTCTCTAAAATTACACTAGCAGAACTAGCGTACAATTAACAATACACATCAAGGAGATACGTGTTTTACAGAGCACAGCCTACAGACACGTTCTCATTCAAAGCTGCGCTAAAGGGCTATTACGACTTCTGCCCACAGAACCCCTGTCACTGAGGGAACAGCAGCTTTCGGCAAGCGTATCCCTGGCTTGCCTCAGAGGCTCAGTGCTGTTACCAGGATTGCAAGATTTAAAGGTGAAAAAAACAACCCCATTACCTTTTTCACATTTATCTTCTGATGTATTAGCCAGAAGCGGTGCAGTAAGAACATGCATACAATGGTTGTAGAAGAAATTGAGAAATTCACTTTTTTCTGTTTTCTAAAACAAATATAACTTTATTAAATACTCGCATTTGTATACTTCCTTTCAAATAAGAAAGAGTAGCAGCATAAAAGACAGCCTACAAATAATTCTATCAGCTCCCTCAGGTCTGCCTGTATCTCTTTGATTGGTCCTGCACCATCATCTTCACTCAAGTAAGACATATTTCTGTATTTTGGGAAAAGATCTGACCTAGCTACCACCAAAAATCCCCACCATGGATGCAAATACGCTATTTCAGTCCCGGAAGCACGGGACTGCTTAGTTTAATAAACGCTTGCACAATACTGCACAGACATACCTTTCATTACCAACAGTTAATGGACATTTCAGCTTGTTTTTTAGCTTGTTTATATTATCAACCATACACAACACTGTCAAAAAAGAATAAAACTCTCTTTTTTTATCCTCCAACCACAATAGCAGCAATAAATATCAGGCTTTTAGTTTTGCTGAGACAGTAAAGTGTCTTTACCCCTTTGTATTTTCTTACATTAGCTGTGGCCAACATATTCTCTGGATCTATCAGAGTACGCAAGAGCCCCATTAACTGAACAGCTCCCCCAAGTTCAGGATCGGTATCGCAGATCATCTGCTCAATGACCACGTTGATGAGGAGGATATCCTGCAAATAAACCAACCAACCAAAATAATTAGACACAGTTTCAAAGTGGAATGACCTCCCTAGTTTCTGTATTAGTTTTTTTTTTTTTTTAAATTTAAGTGAAACAGAACAATTGAGCCGCACTGGAGTTCTGTCAAGCACAACCCTCCTCACCTAAACCCACTGTCAGGCAGACCTACAACCTTGTTACTGTAAACACATGGAACACCAATACGCTCAGAAATTTTTGTACCTTAAATCTACTTTTTCCTATGTTTCCAGTATCTACATTTTTGGTCTAACTATATCCCAAGTTCTGGAGAGGTTTGTTGTTTTGCTGTTCCCCACCCCGTTTGCTCTAGAACTAGTATATTCCACAAACTTCACAACATTTTTACTTACATCATCACTCTGCTGGGCCTCTTGCATTACAAATTCTCGGACCATGGATGGACTAAATTCTACTAGATAAGAAAATATATCTGTAGCAGCAGATCTAACTTGCAGATCATCCATTCCCTAATTAAAAAAAAAAAAAAGATTGATTTATTAAGAGTAAATCAAGTTTGGCACTTATTATCAAGAAAAACTGCAAAGAAAGTTACATGTTTTGAGAACATTTTAGTACAAAAATTTCTACGATAGAGAGAGTAAGACAGTTACAGGACAAAAAAACCACCCAAAAAAACCACAACAGCAAAATCTTTTCCCCATGACTTCCCTCCTTTAGAAAGAATGCAAGGGTTTCTGTGAATTTGATAGCCCTAATTTAGGTAGGAAACACTTATATCGTGCTACTTGCTATAATATTTAAGATGCTAATATTCTGTACCCATTACCCACAGTTTGATTTTGTACAAAAGACCAACTGTACAAATCAGTTTGTACAAAAGTTTCTGTACTCATTTATAGGCAACAAGAATTAGTAATTTTCCTTAAGGTATGCGATCTTCTCTGATAACTGTACAATTTCTAAGCCTAAAATATTAATGTAACAGGAAATATCTGGACTGGTCTAGCCCTGGAAAAGAATAATAAGATTAGGGTTCATCTAATCATTGAACATCCATATGGCTTCTACGTTTTCGTAACAGTCAATGTCCTTTGGTAAATTCACCAGTTGTTACTCTAAGAATAGGAAAAACCTTGAATTCAAAGTTTCTGAGTAACAGCAGCACTGACATATGAATTGCAATGGTGAGGCAGCAACAGCTGCTTCAACCAAAGGAGTGTAAGAAAAAAAAAAATGTTTTCACATTGCTGATTAAGATAGATTAATCTGCTTTGTACCTCTGAAAAGACAGGATTACGTGCTCTTTTGGATAGCAACACGCTAGCAGCTCAAGATTATCTAAAAATACTTCTCTGGCACTGTTCCAACAGCAGCAACAACAAGGGGGGGGAGAAAGTTGCCGCCACATGAGAAAAGAGCATCTTTCAATTGTTACACTACATCGTCAAAAGGACTGCATTTACCACGGACTTCATCATGCGAAGTAAAAATAGAAACAGCAATAAAGTTAGGCTACTTCAGGAAACAGTGGACATCTTTTGGATTCTGAACGTTACAATAAACGTCAACTTTCAGCAGAACAAAGCTGTTCAATCAAACTTACACAAAGGTGCTGAGCCGATCTGAAAAACTGGTTGAATAGCTGTGGGCTGGGTTTTTTTTGTTCCTTTTATAAAAATCCGCTTGAAGTTTTCACTTACCATTACAATTTCAAGAGCTGGAAGAATTCCCAACTTCGCCAAAGTTTTGAAAAATGCATCTCTGTTCTGAGGTTGTAACGTCTGAGAAAACGCGCAGAATTCCTTGAAAAAGTTAACCTATCGAATAGGAAAAAATAATTTAAGGTATATTTGATTCAAGGTAGATCTGATTCATTTGATTCAGAGATTTCTACTCTCTGAAAGTAGGAAACTGTTATAATTTGTATCAGAGTTTGTGTACTGGCCAGTTACGTGCTGCCCTGGAAAACGATATTACTCTAGCCCTTTCTCCTCCAACCTTCAACAACAAAGGAAAGCAAAAGAAAGTAAAACCAAACAAATTTAAGAGGTTGAAGTTTACCTTGGAAAGAGATACAGTCACCTTGTAGCTATCTTATCACACCTAGCGTATGAAGGATTTATACTCCTGTCTGGCACGCCTTTTGTTGGACAGAACAAAGATGCTTCCCTTGCTGAAAGTGAGATTTTCACAAGGCAATTTACGCTGATAAACGTGTTCAAGGATAAATAATGTTTGTAGTAGATATATTAAGGGACTACGGCTAATCCTCAGTCATAGGACTTAAAAGATCTTTTTGAATGAGTCAAGTACAGTGAAAAAAGCAGTGTTTAGATGACAAATGTAAGTGATACGGTACGCTGAAGAGTACTTGGGAGAAAGCATACCTTTAAGTCTAGGATGTCAGCTTAGTGCTAGCACTTTCTCAACAATAAAATAATTATTTAGAACAAATAAATTGGAGCTTACCTTGCAAGAAATATTTTTCTAGTAAGTACCCAAACGAAGACTGAGCTACACTGGAAACGATTCTGGGGTTACAGAAACACCTCAATGACTGCAGATCTAGCAGAACAGTTCAATATTTCTACTTAATCTCACAGTTAAAGCATTCAAAGAACTACTAAGACCACTGGCTTACCAATTCACATCGTTTGTCATCATCTGTAGCTTCATCTGTTAATTGTGCAAAAACTTCAGACAAAAATTTCTCGTCTTCCTGCGTAACACATAAGGAGAACACAACTTACACAATGCATCTTGAAAATTAAAACATTGATCTTTTTTGGATCCCACACTGTAGAAAGTCAAACTTAATTTAAGCTTAACTACGATGCTTAATTATGGACAGAAACGCATGCATTAGTAGATTTGGTAGATAAGGTTGGTCGGGTTTTTTTCTCCACACCTGCATTATTTTATCACAAAAAAGGGAAATGCAAGAGTACACATTCAGGAGGATCATTTCCAGCGTACTGCTCCAGTACTGATTCTGTGCAGCGGAAGCAGGTCCAGGAGACCAGAACCAGACGTTGCGCTGAGCACAGGTGAGGGCTGCTGAAGGCTGCCTTCTGAGCCACCAGTCTCCGAAGAACGTGCCGGTTCCTTTCCCTCTGTGCCACGCCACCCCCTGCGGTTTACAGCTCTGCCCTACCCCACATACTCACCGTAGGATTTGCCACACACCCCCACACATCAAAATTACAGAAAATGGCAGTCTTTGTTCCAGGCTCCCTCCCCGCACTGCGCGTGTAACCTTCCAGGAAGGCAGCCTAGACGCTTCTACACCAGAAATTGCCAATCAAGATACAATTTTACCGTGCTGCACCTCTGCTGTTCCCACTGCACTGTTAACATCGCACGCGTTATCAGTTACCCTATTTCGGAGCTGCAGCATTGCAAACATTTTTTCAGTCCACCTATGCAAGGGTGATTAAATTCACCTGCAACACGTTTGCTGCAGCCATGTCCCCATTAAACCTTACTCTCAATAAAAAAAAAATTGCAGAATCTCAGCTTTTCCAATCTGGGAAACTCTTTTGAGTATTATTTGCTTTTCATATGCAGATCCTCTACTGCCAAGAGATACTTATTTTCAAGTATATGTAGGACAACATTTCACTTCTCGTTAAGCATTTCAGTTGCACCACTGCTTAATACTCAAGAGGCGCAAGAAAAACAGAGTGAACATCATCATCTCTCAACTGTTCGGGCGCTTTCTGCCCTCTCCATACATCGATTTCTCCCTGTGCTCCTTCACATGGGCCAGAGTGGTAGCATTCTCTCAAATCAAATGTCTCTGTTATCTTTTAAATACAACATAAATCTTAAAGCAAGTAGTAAAATCTTAAAGCAAGTAATAACGTTATGCTACAGCATTACAAAATTATGGATCACTGTACTGATTATAAACCTTACTTATGCACTGAATAAACACAAACAGAATAGCAGCTGTCTAATAAATATATATAAACATTACATTGCATAATGTAGAGGGTGCTTGCTTCTCTGTTTTTCTGTGTGCTGCCGCTAAAAATCGAGGTGCTTTATTAGGCTAACGTAACACAGAATTTTTACAGTTACAGAAATGCCAGCCAAAGGCTCACATAATTTTTTTCCTGAAAATTTTAAGACGTGGAAGAAGAAGTGCTTTACAAACGATACCTGGAATCAACATCAGAGAGAGTTGCAACATACACAGACTTAGTAGTTTATTCTAAGCTTTGCTGGCTTTAACAGCTTAATTAAGCCTGTTTAAAAAAAAAAAGAAAAAAAAAAGGTACCACAATCAACAACAGATAGGCTAGAAAATCCCCGCTACAGAACACTTGGCAACAGAAATATCTCTCGCTCGTGTAAGGCTGCTGCAGCGTAGGCCTGATGTCCGAAAGCACGGGATGGATCTGGGTTTGTTTTCCATGCTCTCGGTTTCCCACGCGGCTGCCCTTCCTCTACAGCAGCGCTGGGATCTACTGCTTCGCAGCACGCAGAAAGGAGCTTTACTGCCGCAGCAAACACAATCTGCTGCTCCTATAAACTGCGTTCTCCTAGGGAGCTTTGCCAGCGTATTTAGGGTAACAAGACTTCTAAGTTGTTCACCAAACCCCAAGGAGCTTTAGAGTTCTTGTGCCACAACAAAAAGCTGATTTACACCATGGGACTGCGAAAACAGTCCTGAACCTGAGGTCCATACTACCATGCAATTTTCCTCAAGCGTCTTATCAATAACATCTCTTCCATGCGTGCTTTCTTCTCAGTTTGCAATTCCCAAGGCAGGTCAAATGATGTAGGCATCAACATTATTTGTAAATCAACACGCATGTCTCAATTAGAGTCTTTAAAAACAGACAGGTAAACCTACGTGCTACGTACTCCCTACTACAGCAAAGACGGCAGTGACTGAGAGTAGCAAAGAACTGTCAGACGATTTCAGAACTTTCTTCAAAGAGTACTAGAGGTAACAGGAAATAACAGTTTTCTGTTAAGGCACAATTCAACATTCAGTACAGTAAAACTTAAAATGAAAAAACCACCGACCTTTACACAGTTAAAAATCTCTAAATGGAAACAGGACTGTGGCCTCAGGAGAAGAATACCGAATTTATTTTTTGTTTTAGGAAAGTAATATACGCAAAAGAATAAAAAGGGAAATCTTTATTTAACACAAAGTCATTAATTTTGCAAGTGAGATTTACTTTTTAGTTTCTTTCTGCTATTCAAACAGCCCAAAAGCTTATTCATGCACTTCTCCACAATTCTTTAGTTTTGACTTTTTTCCCCAGTCCTCTATTGCATTCTTTAGAAATATTCCTTATGGCAATGTTATTTCTCCAGTGCCCTTCTCTTGCCACAATTTTAACTACCCTCCTCTTCTCCTCGATACACCTTCCTATTTCACAGAGACTATCCGCACTCAAAACCAACAGGTTTGTCACGTTCTGATCTACACAAATGTACCATTTGTCTAAGGACGCGGATCAGAAACAGAATGAAACCACTTTGGTACCCATTAGTTTGCACAACAAAATATGAACTGAAAGCACCCAAAGTGTCATGAAGTTCACACACAGCTCTTTACCAAGGCTCCTTCCACGCTCCAGCTTGGTTGTCACACCCAACTACTTTTAAGCCTGCTTCTGACTACAAAGTATGCAGTAAGTTTTTTCATACAGTAACATGTTGGCTTATTGTTAAGTATTACTTTTGGATATCAGTATGAAGAAAAAACCCCAACGAATTACTTTATTAGTACCATAAAGTAATAGTAGTATAAAAGGAACGGTTCCGAACGTGCTCTTTTTGAATCACAAATTCAGAATTTTTTATAAAGACATCACAAATGTCCCTGATATACAATACAAAAAGTTGCTTGTTCCCTAAATACCTATACAAAACCAGCTCAAAATGTGTATGTTGCTTGTGAATCAAGAAGAACCTTTAACTGTTTACAACCCATTAAAAACATATTTATATACTCACCTGAAAGCCACCATTTTAAAAATAAAAAATAAAAGGTATCAGAAATAAGGGGAAGCATTCAAAACATTATGGAAATGAAAGTGTGTATGATTAACTTACACAGCGTTAAAGAGCTGTAATCAATTTCAAAACTACAGCTAGAGGTATCTATACATAATCCATCCATACCATATTAAAAACCACTTACCTGCAACATACTGACAATCTCAACTTTGTTGAAGAAAATAAAGGAAGTGAGGGTAGAAAGAAAATTCTCTTCAAAAACAGATGGTGTCGGCAAGATGATGTCCTGAATATACTGTACCCTGTAAGTCTGGTGGATTTTTTGCCTGAGTTCAGAGTCTGTTATAGGAATAACTTCCTTAAATTTTGCTGTTTTGGTCAAGAACTCCCTGTGCCGTTTTGGCTGAGCCAAAGAAGGATCATACTCAAGGCATCCAACAACATCCATAATACACTCATCAGAAAACATCACCTCAAACAGAGTTGCTTTGTTGAGGAACAAAATTCCTCTAATAATTTCATACAAATGATGTAAGCCTTCGGTGTTCTCTAAATTCTCGCAGACTTGGAAAAGCTGTAATAGTTTTTTAATATAGCCTTCATTCTCCAAGGCCAGCGCTAGCTTTTCTCTGCGGATGGGTGAGGAGAGAACAGAGGTAACTAGGTCAGCAATCTCTTCAAGTTTGTTGAGTTCACAAGTAGGAAGGTCGATCAAAGGACTAGTTTCAGGCATTTCTTCTATGTGTTCCTCTTCTGACTCAATAAGGTCCTGCGTGACTTCCACTGAAGGATCCTTGCCTTGAACCTAAGAAGAGAGCGCGCACAATTACCGTCTCATCCCAAAGTAGGCATAAAAATTATCAAGTCAATAACTGAAATAACATGTGTGTAAGCATTTTTATACCATCAGTTGCCTGGAAAGTGTCTAGCTGTGCAGAAGAGTAAGTTTGTGGCCTCTAAATTCCACAAAGTCACTACTGTTATCCTCAATAGTACACTTGTCAAAAAATCAAATCAACCAAAACCAATCCCTAACAGCATCTGTGCAATCAAGAAGTCTGAAGCACCTTAGAGGCAAGCACAAAATCTAAAAAGAAAAAGGAGGGCGTAACAAAACCTTCTTCCAGTGTCTCAAACAGAAGGGTATGAAGCCTTAAACTCGTAGCAAGAGCCCACAGCTATACCAACATTAAGCAAAACCTAACAAAAAGACCAAGAACAACGGCAGGAAAACGTCACAAATACCAAAACTGAACAAGAAAAGAGGGAAGCAACTGTGTCCCACTCTGCGCTTGCCTTCCGCTTTGTCTGCCCCTCTAACTCCTTTCCCCGGTCTTCTGGTACATCCTACACTTCTCGTTCCCCACGTTGGTCCAGTTCTAGAGCGTGTAACCTCCTGCTGTTAACTCCCTCGCAAAGGGTCACATCTTACGCAGGAGTCTCAAAGGACAAAGTGGGAAGAGTTCTGGAGTCTGATGAAAGAGCCTAAGGTTAGCCTTAGGGTTTACATTGTCTGATCACACGAAGACCTCCCTCTCAGACTGGTCATCAGGTCAGCCCCACTTTAAACCCTGGACTGTTTATTAGACGCATGTAATTGCAGTTACTACAATCAGTTCCTTTCAACAACAGGACTTCAGAACTGGCTGAGAAGACATTATACCCCAAAACACGCTAAGATTAAGAATGCATCTAAATTGCCTAGTTTGTTCAAAGGAAACTTCTAGGAAATCCAAGTTCCATGGTTCTTTAGTTAACAGCTTTACATTGCAGCATTTCAAAATCTGAAAAGGTTATGATAAATTCCAACACGAAAGCCCAGGTTTCTTCTCTTAAGTACACATCGGTGCAACTCCTCTGACTTGTTACTTCCAGGGTTGAAAGTATAAAATCTAAACTGTTTCTTCATAAAACAATGAAGATCAAAATATCCATAAGACAGACAGTAAGACGTACATCTTTATGGAAAAAAGTATCACTGACATTTTTGAGCTCATACAGCAATGGCACCTCTTTGTCTGTCACAGTGAAATATCTAGCCCCTTATGCATTACAACACGTTTTCAGTTCCACCGTGCTCCAACAAGCCAGCTTCCTAAGGCTGCCTGGGAGAAGGACACTTAAAACATGGTATTCTGGCATTCCCCTTTTTAATAAAAACAGACAACAAAAAGCCCCTAAAATGCCTAGCACCTGAGTTTCATCATTACATTGATTTTTCAAAAGCGCGAAATTCAATTACGAAAACAGTAAATACTGTTCTAAATAGGGGCAGCTTAAGATCTTACACAGAAAAGCCAAAGAAAATAATGCCGAGTATGTGCTTATTTTACAAGTAGGTTTAAAAATTACAGCACAAATACATGAAGTCACAGGAGACACTAAAACATCTGGAAGAAACAGAATATGTAAAGTTAACTGTACCTGGCAGATTTTTTCCCAAATTTCATCACAGCCGGCTTTTTCTTGAAAACTCAGTGCTAAATCATAGTTTTCTGCTTCTGACCAAACAATCAGGGTGTCCTGTTTAAGACAAACACAAAACCACATTTGTTTCTGAAACAGGTTTACACTGCATATTAATCTGTATTCCGTTAAGTCATGTGTCTAAAGAAGAAATAATTTTAATTAAAGTTACACTTGTCAAAAAAGAACATAAGACACTAAAATATTAAATCACCTGTTCTGCCATAAGGGACATCACCTTTCTTTTTTGCTATTTTATGACCACTACCTTACATGTTATATATTTAAATACACTATTTTTCATATCCAAAACACTTACAACGGCATTTTTCCTGCAACATACTTCTGAGCCAACAGTCTTGAAAAGGGAATGCACACATTGTAGGAGATTAAGCAAACCTGCAATATAATTTAAGCCTTTTCATATTTAATGAAGTAGAAACAAACCCCCAAGACTACAGCGTTTCCTCCTCAGAAAGGGTTTAATACAGCCTTAGCAATGTGAGAAATAATGCCTAACTAACGTTAAAATACTCTTTTCTGAATTAAGAGACATACAGCCTGAATAATATAAAACTCTTAAGTTCTTACTAAAGTTACAAACATCTTGCCAGCAGGTATTTTCATTTGAACAAGTTTTTTTTCCTCTGTTACTACTGTCTCCATCAATGCAATTTGTGCACTTGCACAGTGTATCTGGAAGATTCGCTAGAATTTTTGAATTGACTAAAAAGGGGTTTTTTTTATGAGGTTTTATTAGGATACTTGCTGCTGTACTGTAAGGAATGTAAGCCTGTGCTTCGACATTCAAATATACAGTTCAGATTTCTACAGTAAACTCATCTTCACGTTAAAACGTTCAAACTGAATGGTTCTCTGTTAACTCTGCAGTACATTTTACAAGCTCCAGCAAAATGGGTCAACATTCCGCCAAATTTATTGACTTCCTGAACTGTTACTGCACCTATTTCACCTTTTTTTTTTTTTTTTTCCCCAAACACCAGCGAGCCCTTGCTTAATGGTCAGTTAGGTAATTTACTTCCCACATTTACAAAGGTCATTATTCACCGCACAACTTATCAAGGCTTGTTAAGTCTTTACCTTATGCATCACTTCTATTGTAAACAAAATATTCAGAGCGATATCTTTAAGCTTAGCAACCAAACGCAAACAAATATCTGACTGGCTTACAGATACCTGATATACCTTAAGAAACTTCAGGGGCAACAAGAAACAGATGCTGCCGTTGCCCCCTCACGTCTTTACCCCAAAAGTACTTCTTGACAGGAAACGATGAAGCTGATTAATTACTATCTGTAAGGTGTTCACTATGCTAAAAGGCCAATCCATGACACAGTATCATACAACTACCCAGTCACCATCCTTCACGGATCCACCAAAGACAGACGGACAAAAACGTAACGAGTACCAAGCGATCATCGCTACTCTTGAACCTACAGTCAATCAGCATTCCTTAATTGTTTTCGATCAAAATCCGGTTAGTTGAGGTGGTTTAAACAGACTTTTAACGCAGTTATCTGGGCTTACACAGCTCAGGGAGCACTCCTAAGTTACTTCCACTGGCAGATGTGAGGGGACTAATGTTTGGGACAGGACTGCTGGCAAGCAGCTGGCATGGGACAGCAGGCAAACTCTTCCATCAGCACAGCTACCTGAGAAACACACGTCTGTCTCAACGCACACAACTTACCAGCTGCTACAAATATCACTCTGGAACATGAATGAAGATCAGCATCGCTGACACAGCAATAATTCTTCATTTCTACAGTAATCTTAATCTCTCAATATCCATGCATAGCTGCGTGTTTTGAGGGTTTTGTCTTTGCTTTTTTTTCTTTAAAAAAAAAAAAAAGCCTAGCATAACATCTTTTTCTTACAGGAAGACTGTTGACAAGTGCCTACCAACAGATCGGCTTCCCTCTCCCAAAACATAATCACAAGCCACACTAAAAACAACAGCACTTGCACAGGCTCAGGGGTTTTTTGTTTTGTTTTCCCTTCTGTTTCTTTAAAGGAATATGTAAAAATAAAAGTTTTCCCGCTCTGGAAAGAACTCAGCTCATTGCACTACAGTTTTACTGCTGTTCATGAGAGTCATCTGTTTATACTACAGTGCCCTGTATTGCACTTGTGTGCTACAGTCACAAATATTAATAGGTAGTCTCCCTGCTTTCGGGCTCCGATTCACGTGGGCAAATGGTACAGCTTCATAGAGCTGATCTGGTTTTTGCTTACAGCTGTCCACCCCCATCTCCAGCTCGGACAGCGGAGTCTCCATGTTTACAGTGTGCCATTTTAGAGTGAGCAGTTGAACTGGGCTTCAAGGAAAAAATAATAATTGTCAACTGCAGGCACTGGAAAGTCTGATCAGCTCCCTGATCTGGTTCTCTTTTAGAGATTAAAAAAAAAAAAAAAAAAAAAATTCTTAAGGACAATTTTATGGCTGTTACAGAACTCAGAATGTGGAATGTTTATCTTGAGATGTTCTGTGAACTTACTGATGCCCTGACACTCAAAATCAATACACTTCCAGGTGAGCTGAGACTCAGAGGTGCCTCAATGAACGAAGGACACATACATAAAGAGGTCCTATTCACAGCCCAGAATGATTCAAATACGAGATACAGTAACTTAAAATGACTGCATGCATCCATAGAGACTGCACTCAAAAATTTTGTGAGAATTCTCCAGTTCCTGAACGGTACTCGTTTCAATCTGTACTGCCCACACAAAGCAGAAGTTATGTAAGCTTCTCCAGAAATACTTCTGAAAGACTAAATGATAGTTTCATCAGAAAACCATTGCCCAATACCAATGTAAAATCTACTCATGTGGCGTACGCTCCCTGCATGACCTACGACAACCCACGAGGACCACAGGCAGACATCTTCCTAGCTGCTGCGACAGACTACATGAGCACCCGCAATGCTGCTCCGTCGACGAGCAACAGCAACGTTCCTCAATTCACTCAAACACAATGTAAAGACGAACAGAAGAGATTAATTCAGAACAACAATTTTAAACAGAGAGAGTAGTTCAAATCCCTCCTCAGTGTTGGTACTGGTTTGTACAACGTCTGCCACTCCACCTCTCCTTGTTCCTGCGCTGGCCCCTCAACCCCACCTACGCCAGCACAAGCGCGCAGACGGGGGAACACACGCCGATAAAAATTATTCCAGCAAAAAGAGGTATTTCAACTGAATCAGTTCCTACATCTAACCCGGCACACAGTAACACGAATACTCATGCTGGCATGAAAGAGGAGTGAAGCAGCCCCCTGGCAACTGCTCAAGCTGGCTTTAACAGCACCCCTGCAAATGCATTAAATCCCGGCCTCAAGCAAGTCCGCTTTTGCCTCAAGCAAACTGTGCTGTTGTCACATGAGTGATGGCAACTCTGTGCAAAGGACAGCATTTGCATGCGTTCTTCACCTCGGATCTGAAAACGGATAGATGGCACCTAAAGAAGAGTTAACATCAGAAGGCAGCGTTCACAGTAAGGATTTCTGTAGCAGTTTAAAGTCTTACAGCCATGGAACTGAAAATTACCGCCTTCGTAACCCAGCTGGAAGAACAAAGCACACAAACGGATCCATCTGATTTCTCACTGAAGACGCGCTCTTCTGCCAGTTTTGCCAGGGAACAGTAACCTCAAGCAGAGGGTGGAACAACAAATGGGTGTGGTAACAACTTTTTAAACTGCTCCTGCTAGAGCCTCCAGAACACATCTGACCCTGCCCTTTGGCCCATATGGGGTGTCCAGTGGAGATATGTATCTCTCAAAGCCTATGCCCCAAAATCCAGGGAGATCTAAAGCTCTTTAGGCTCTCATGTTCTTTGCATACGTGGAATTAGAGATTTTTTCATGTTAGCTACCAGGCTGCTAAGCATACATGTCCAATCCAAGTCCTATTTCTCTTGAGAAAGAGGTGACGATTATAGTACACCTAACACCTCGACAGAGTTGAATTCTGCACGAAAGCTAGTGACCACAAACACGATTCGAGGAGGCAGATAACAGGCCTGCCCTGTTTACGGTTAGTCAATATTTATAGTACTACGCAACTAAAAATCAGGGTGGGTTTTTTTTCTGCAGAATGATGGTATGCAAGTCACAATTTAAGTGACTGCTATCCTATAAGTCCATTCAAGTAATTTCTATGAAGACAGATGTGTAGGCAGGGTGTGTACCCTTTCCACCAAGCTGCACCATCTTGCAGCTTTCCCCAAACCCAAGATGATCAGCACCTTAATGAAAATCTGCAACTGAACTCTGGCAAGTGGAAGAGAGAGCTCTCCTCCACACTGCCATTCGCCTACAAGCACCTGCCCTGGGCAGATTAGTACAGCCTCGAGTCTTCATGCTATCTACGTAACAGACTGTAACACTAAAATAAGGACACTGAGGAAAGACCACCTCTCTTCATCTCTGGTTAACCAAAACATTTTGCCTAAACCTTTCCACCATTTTAAAAAAGGATCTGTTCCCAAGACGCCCAGGTTTGAATACTACAATGTCAGGTGAGACTGAAATCGCACAAACTGAGAAGCATGGGAATGCTACATTAAGGTCTGCTTTTTTGCTACTCTACTCAGAAAGAAGCATGTAAAACTTGAGGACAAAGCTCTGTGAACTAAAAGCTGTATGATTTCAGAGGTCAGACAAACCTAGAACCTGTCTCTGGAAATCATCAATCATTATTCCTCTTCAAAAAAAACCAACCCAAACCCAAACTTCCTCAAAAGCACGAACAGGGAAGCAAACACTTTCAGCCACGAGGACACAAAAGCATTGGAATCAGTAACAAAAGCCAACCAAAATAAACCTCAGCCCGCGTTTTTCAAAACAACAACCTACAAAGACTTCCACAATAAAAATGACAACAAAAGCTACGCAAGTCCCTTGAAATTTTACTACCGATTAAGTAAAGGCGGCTTTCAAATAATCAGTTGTATGAAGTTTCAGAAAACATGCTGCAAAAGGAAGCTATTTAAAACTTTACAGCAACATAATCTGCATTCGTATTTCATTATGTATTACTTTACTAAACAGGAAGCAGTTCAAGGCTCTTGACTTTAAGAACCCTGCAGAGCTCCATAAAGACCGTCCTCCTTCCTCAGCATGGCCCGCCCAAGGAAAGCCTACGACCGTCATCCACCTGACTAAAACCACCAATATCTAATGAGTGAAAAGTGGAAACCACAGAAAACAGAGCCTTCTGAAAAGCTAGGCCCGAGACTCTGACTCACTCCTAAGCTAAAGGCAGCCAACCTGTGCTCAAGAGCTAACACAGTCTCTTTCCTCAAATTATCGTAACATAACTTGTCACCTTTCCGTTGGGGGGGGGGGAGAAAAAAAATCAAAACAAACAACATCCTTGAAGGTTTGTCTCTTCATGATCTAGGAAGAACAAAATTACTGTTTTCTAGTGCTGAAACGCTTCTAGATACCGTAACGGTGAAGAGCAGTATAAAACACTGAACAAAAGGAACAGAGAATCTACTGTAGAACAAAGGAGCAGACAGAAAAAAAACCCAGTAATAACCACGAGAACAATGTAGGCAGAGACACCAAAAATGAATGCAGAAAAAAGGAAAAAGCAAAAGAGATTTAGTAATCTAATTTTTTTAGTGGATTAAACAAAAATGACCTCTTAACATAGCTCTCAGCTGGTTTACTACTTTGTTTTGCAGAAGGCTTACACACGGGAAAGGCAATCATGCAAGTAAGCTTCACCATGGCTGGTCACTTCACTTACGTTAGCAGAAGTTTTCAAGGCTTAAACCAAAAACTAAACAGCAACAAATGAAAGAAGCCCCACAAAGACAAATTCCTTTGTGTTATTTCCAGAAAAAGAACTCAAGAAGTAAATACACTCTAACAGAGCTAGCCAACGTTTTGCCTTCCTAGTTCGGCAATTATTTCATACGGCCTGGGATGAGAGACAAAAGTTACGCATACGTGTTCCTAACTATTTTTCCTGTAACAATTCAGTATTTTCCAAATTGCATATATTCTCTTCAAAGACTTAAGTCCAAATCGGTTTTTTAGGAGACCAACGTTTCAATTTCTAGATTGTAAAGTATTACAGCACCTACAGGCTTCTAAGTGAGTTTTTCACCTCTATGAAAAACACCATCGACAAGCGCACGTCATGCCGCTTTGTTTTTTTTCTGAAAAACGCAATCAGTTTGAGCATAAAACAATTCCTTAGCACCAGTAATCAGAAAAAATGAAGCCTAGCAGTAATACTTGCCTGCTGTTTTTGATACGCAGTATTTGGATTTATCTTCGATTCTAACAGTAGTGAACCTGAAAAAGGTATGAAGAGATATTGACTGAGTTTAACAAAATAAACATCTCCATGCATCTTACAGCAACCGCCCATGTGCCAGCCAACATATGCTCAGCTTAATCCGTATCTTCCAGAAAGTCCAGAACCACCTTCTTTAAACGTAATTCCCTAAAATAAACCAGGTAAGACGGAATTCAACATAAATATCCACTTTAAAATATATTTTTCTCTTCTAATTTAGACCAGAATTCTCTGTGGCACTGTTTTTCCTCCTGAAACCTGGTGCGACAACTAGCTTGTTTAAAGGCCGTTTAGGAAACCTATACAAATTTGCACCAGGTAACACGCTGCCCAGCATAAAAGCAACTGGCCCACGTGGCTTCTGCGGGCAAAAACATTTTTATTTCCTTCAACTGCCCTTCAGAAGTGAATCATCTAGATACTATAAACCCCGGGACTTTATCTTGTGTATGCAAGTAGTGTATGTAGCCTGGCAACAGCTCCAGAGTAATTTATATCGGTCTTAGGTGGTTTATTTAGCACATTAGCACCTGTCGGCTGACAAAGTGGCTAGCATGTACCCTCCCCCCTCGAAAAGAGACCCTTAAGGTGACTTTAAAGTGCAATAAAACACGAGGGATGCCACACAACTCGAAGAGAATCGGGGAATTTCTAGAGGAAAAAACCAGCCAGCCAAACAACTTTTTACAGTCGCAAGAAAAGGGAGGGAAAG